TTGACAATGTAGCAAACGATGTTGACGGCTTCGGCCCAAAAATACTTTGGTAAGTTATTTTCATTTACCATGGTCCAAACCATTTCTTGCAATGTACGATTCTTCCTCTCTACTACACCATTTTGTTAAGGGCTTTTAGGAGCTAGAAATTATGTTAATATCCATTTTCATTGTAAAAATCATCAAAGCCAACATTATCAAATTCGCCACCATGGTCAATTCTAATAGTCGTAATGGTATAAACCTTTACGTTTTTGACTTTCTTACAAAAGTTTTTATAAACTTTTAAAGCTTCATCCTTTAAGCTTAAAATTATGACACAATTAAATCTAGAAAAAACATCGACGATAACAAATGTGGAATATTTACCGCCTAAGCTAGCTGTTCTAGATGGTCCAAAACGATCTATATGGAGAAGTTGTAATGATTTCGTATTTGAAGAATAAGTTTTAGGTTTGAAATAATTTTGTTTTCCAAATTGATATACATTACAAATTTTATCTTTTTTAAATTTCAAATTCGACAATCCTTTCACAAAAAAATTTTTGAAAATTTTCGAAAGAAGATCCATGCTAATATGACCTAATCTCCTATGCCATAGCCATGTTTCGTCTTTTAAGCTAAGTAGACTTTTTATTATTTTCAAATTCAATATTTATGATATAAATATCTTTACTTCGATTTTCTATGAATATCATCTCTTTCGATTTAACATCTTTAGTAAGGCACTTGAAAGATCGAATTTTTTGTTGTAACTTTATCGCATAATTGACTAATAATTAACGAATTATGTTTGAGGTTATCAATTAATTAAACATTTTCAATCGAGGGAGATAAGTGATTAACAATGTTTCCAATGCCAATAATTTTTCCTTTAGAATTGTCTCCAAAAGTGACATGACCTCCATCCCTCTTCTTGAAGTTTTACAATAGAGATCGATCACCGGTCATGTGTTTTGAGCATCCGCTATCCAAGAACCATTTGCTCTTTATTTTCTTCGGTACCTACAAGAACAATTTAATTTTTTTATTTTTGGCACCCATACAAATTTGGGTCCTTGGTAGTTAGCTTTGGTTGGATTCATGAATCCATTTATGTTTTCTTTCAACGTATAGCCTCTTTTTAGTTAAACAATTGAATGCAACATGTATATCCTTATTGCAAAAGTGACATGTAATAGTGGAAAATTTTGAGGCTTTAACAAATATGTTTTGAGAGATTTTTGTTTCAAAAATGGTTTATACCCTAGTCCTCCTTTATCAAAAATGTATTTTTGATTCCCAAGCATTAAAACAAAGTTTTTCTTACCTTGTGTAAAATTTTGAATGATTTGAGTTAAGTCTTCAACTTTTTCTTTTAACGATGAATTTTCATTAATCAAGAAATCATAATCAATATTCTCCTTTTTATTTTCCAATATTTTCTTATTTGATTTTTCAACATTTGATGCTCTTTTTAAAAAGTAGAGTGATTAAAAGCGAGCTTTTAAAATTCTTCGAGTATTTCATCATAAGAGGAAGATAGATCATCATATGAAAATTTTCAATAGATTTTACCTCATCGTCGATCACCATGAAGCACATGTTTACAATTTCTTCTTGACTTATTTGCCTCTTCATCCTCATCTTCGCTCTCATCCCAAGTGGCTTGAAGTGCCTTTTTCTTGATGTTCTTCTTCTTATTTGGGCACTCAGTTCTTCTATTATCGGGCTTGCACAATCATAACAAATGATCTTCTTACTCCTTTCTTCGCCCTTTTCCTCCTTTTGAAATCTTCGATTATTTTGAAGACCTCTCTATTTTTTGGCAAGAATAACTAAATCGTCGAACTCTTTATCGCTCATATTGCCACTTGTAGCTCCTTCTTCAATTCCCGTCTTTAGAGCGATTTGTCGTTTAGGAAGCTCCTTTGCTTCTTCCTTGCTTTTTCTTGTCCTCTCCTTAACCTCGGCACTGTTGAGTTCATAAGTCATCAATGTCCCATAGAGTTCTTCTAAAGGATATGTATTAATATCATTGGTATTCTCGATCAACATCCTTAAAGGACTTCATTCCTCCAATAGTGACCTAAGCATTTTGCTCACAAGTTCACCATTAGTAAATTCACAATCAAAACCTTTAAGGTCATTTACAATACCAATGAAACGAGTATTCATATCAACAATGTACTTATCTTGTTTCATGAAGAAATTTTCAAATTCTTTAGCTAGCAAGTTGATTTTTGTTTAACTTTGCTAGTGCCAACATGAGTAATTTCTAGTGCATGCCAAATATCATATGCAAATTCACACATGCTAATCCGATTGAATTCATTTCTATCTAATGCACTATAAAGTAAATTCTTAGGTCTACCATTCGAAGATAACTTTTTCTCATCTTTTTCATCACAATCTTCTGTGGGTTTAAAGATAATTTGGTCGGGTTAGCCATCTATCTTGATGGTCTTAGTAGGCTTATGTGGACCATATTCAACTATTTCTTAAATATTGTAATCTATAGATTGAATGTAAATCATCATCCTAGCCTTCCGATAATTATAGTATGCTCCATCAAAGAAGGGAGATCGATTTATAGATTGCCCCTCAAGATTTTGAAACAAAGGGTTAGCCAGCCATTACTTAAGATTGTGAAACCTTTAAAAATAAGTACCAAACTCTGATACCAATTGAAAGCTCAAGAATAGCTAATAGGAGGGAGAGAATTGGTTATTTAAAGAAATTTCAAAAATAATCGCAATCTCAAACAAATAACGAATAAATTAATTGCACAAGAAAGTAATAAGTAAAAAGGAAAAGATGCGCAAATGATGTAATTATGGAGGTTTGATCCAATCTACGATCTACTTCCCCCTTTATCAAACTCTCCATCCCTAGGAAGGCCTTTTTCATTATGTTTGATTGACTTATGGCGCAATCCAACCTTTGCAACGCTTCTGGTGACTTACAAACAAGGAGCACAAATCATTTTACAATATTAAGCTTTATGGGACCTCAACATAACCCATAATTCAATCAAGAGTAAATTTTACAAATGAAATATTCTCTTTTAATAAATGATATAATCAAAGTTAAGTACTAAGAAAGAAGAAAGCTAACATTTCAATAGATAGCAATGCATATAGCTTAAGCATTAGAGTAGAAAAACTTTTATGAGAAAAATGATTTTCAATAATTTGATTCACTCAAAAAGTTTTTCGAGAGATGAATGAATTGATTTTTTAAAGAATGGAAAATAAAATAGTTAAAATCAATAATTGTCCCACTTCAATGCTCTTAAAAAGTTGTATTGAATAAAAAAGTGAAGTGATATTTATAGCAATCAAAACGTCAAAAAAAGTTGTTGATCCAGATGAGTCATCGGACATCTTGATCTGAATCGGACAGTGCAAAAGTAGTCGTTACACGTCAGATACAGAAACAGTAAGGATAGAAGGTCCTCAAACGCTTTCCTCTGTGATGATTTTGTTCAATGTAGACTTTTGAAGGATCTTTTCAAGACATGTGGTTTTTGTAATAATTTGATAATCGAATTAAAATCCTTTTCTTCTGAAAATAATTTTTATACAATTGTTTGAGTGATAAAATTTCTTTTCGAGCTATATTCAATTCAATGCTAAGAATTAAAGTGATTTACCTTTACATAAAAATTCAAAGCATTTATGTACAATTTCTCGATATGCTTCAAGGTTCTTTCACTTAATCTTCCGTCGATTTGCCACCTTTATTTCCTCATCGATCATCAATTGCACGTCTCTTGCTCTCGATCTTCATGCCTTCAAATGTAATTTGTTAGAAATATACGCAATTTGTTTGTGATAATCAAAACGAGACGTTAACATGTTAGCACTTTTAAGTAAAAAGTAAAAAAAAAAAAAATCTCAATTTTTATGTCGTTCACTCCAAGATTCTTTGAGACTTTCACAAAAAAGTTTTAATATGTTTTTTTTTTTTTTATTTCAATATTGCTCTTTTATGATTAAATATTTTTCTTCTGCCGTGTATGTTTGTTCTTTTTTCTCTCTCTCTCGCTCTTTTTTATGTTTATTCCCACTTTCTAAGAAAAAAGATTAAATTGTTATTAAAAAATTCTTATAATATTCTTTTTCCTTTTTCATCAAATTTTTTGTATAAAGGTTCAGTTTATAATTAATAAATTTTTTATATATGTTAATTTTGTAATTAAAATTTTAATATATTATCTTGGATTAGTATTTTATTTATTTATGGTGACTTAATTTTTTTTATCCTTGTAAATTTTTTTATTACGTGGAAGAGGTGAGAGGCATCAAGCCTCCTCCCATGTATGAATTTCCTATTGTTCGGTTAGATTGAAATGAATCCAATTCTAAATGAAAGTCTCCAAAAGTCAAATTTAAAAATAATATTATTTACAATCATTTACTATCGCAAGTGCTTTACGTGATATACATATAGTATTTAGTCTCATGCATCAACTCACTAATAACCATAAGTATGAAACATGAGACGACTGCAATAGTAAACCACTACAAATAACATTACTCAAAATTTAAATATGAAAATTTGTAGAAGTCCATTTAAGACTTTCATTTATTTCATACGAATCTATAAAAATCCTTGAATTCCACAAAAATTTATTGCTTAAAAAATGTCTAGAAAGGTGTACAAAAATTTATTACTTAAAAAATGTCTAGAAAGGTGCTCAAAAGTTCCACTTGAATACTCCTCCTAAAAGTTGTTTTTAAACTTATTTGAATAATTTTCTAAAAGAAATTTTGCCTAACTAAAGGATCTTTTAATTAAATGTGGTCCGAAATAACTTGATCATTAAAAACATTTCTACAAAGAGCAAATGCAAAAACTTTGCCAAACAGTCCTAAAGACTCGAGTTTGATGAGTGTTAAAATCTGGTTTCATCCTAGCGGCATAAACAAATTTCTGCATCAACAGAAAATACAAATATATCATTATAAGTTTAATCCTATTTAATACTAAAATATATATTGAATTATAGATTAATGGGTCAGGTGGCAAAACGATACTCTATAACGGGAGCAAGTGCAAGTGTATTTCATACATACAGACTCCCTGACATCCTCCGTTCTCACTCATTATTCCCATCTCTACCATATATTTTATAACAAAAAGTTCAATCAACTCTCTCCCTCGTGGATCTTCTTGAACAAGATGCACAGCTACATTTAGCGTTATCATAATTCCGTCCTAATCTATTGGAGCCGCGCTCCCTACAACTACTACTACTACTATCGACTAAATTTCTACACTGTTTACGACACGAAAGAGATCCTCTCCCGTCACCTGCCCAAAAATCATGATGATCCACAGTTGATTCTGGAAAAGGGCAACATGTCTCGGAATTTCGAGAAGAGCTGCAGTCAAAATCAGCAATTGGGGAATGCCTTGAATGCAATGGAGATGGAAAGGATGACGACGAAGCTGTGTCAGAATCTGTGGAATTCCTCGATGATCTATTCCAAAAGATTCCAGCATCGCCAAATATTTGATCAAAATTGTCATCAGTGCTTGTTGATTCCAGGTTGGTGCTGTCTGTACTGTAAGAACCAACTTCGGAGAAGAAAGACGAATTCTCGCTCCAACGGTCCTCTTCTAAAATTGTCCGAATTGGCTGGAAACTTGTGCAAGGAAAGTCATTGCAGGTCTGAACATTCAATTCCCCCGTAGAAACATCCCGTCGATCTGCTGAGTGAGCTCTTGACTTACAAGTTGGATGTTTTGCTTTTCTTGTATCAAGCGGAGCTATTGAACTCCTTATTAGTCTTGGGGCGCGTGGTGAACACCTACGAGGAATTGAATCAAATCAGAAACCAAAGAAATGAGGGACAAAAGAAGAGCCAAAGAAATTCAAACACCCAAAACATGTCACCTTGCATAGAGAAGCATGTATGCGTCTTCCGTCAAAACCGTTTCAAGTTCCACCACTTGCACCTATAACCAGATAAATATCAGATTAAAAACTTTGAGATGCACATACACAAAGCAGAAAATAGAGTAGGAATAATAAGCCCTATCCAATCCCTAATCCAAAAATTTGTAGTGGTCCAACTACAAGTGGAAAGTAAAATTCAAAACACAATCCGAGTGCATTACCAAACTATTTTTGGATCATGAAAATTCCCAACAAGTGATGAATCAGGCACCCAAAAAAAGGGAGGGAGGGAGGGGGGGGGGGGGGGGGGGGGGGGGGGGGGGGGGGTGGAGTGAAGATTGGTTCCAATACCAGTGCCCTAGCTTTGGCAATAAAATCATCATATAGAACACAAAGCTTGAAAAGCAGCCAACAAGGTGTACAAACTTGCTGCCAAAGCTTGAAAAGCAGCCAACAAGGTGTACAAACTTGCTGCCAAACTCAAAGAAAGCCTAAGAATGCTACTCAGCCATTCCCCTTATTAATCAGAGACAATTAGTTACACCAAGATACTTGCACCAACCAACAAAGGTGTACAAACTTGCTGTACGTGGGTGGATTTGATATAATATAGGTGTTAGCCAACAGATTTTTTGCATACTTTACCAGAGTCTAACAATGCTACTCAACTGTCCACTTAATAAACAGAGGCCAATTACTGACTCCTTGATGCCAAGATACTTGCACCAACCAGAGGGTGGATTTGACATAATAGAGGTGTTAGCAACAGATTTTTTTGCAAACTTAACCAGAGTCTAACAATGCTACTCAACTGTCCCCTTAATAAACAGAGGTCAATTACTGACACCTTGACACCAAGATACTTGCACCAACCAAACAAGGTGTACAAACCAATTATCATTTCCATGCTCCCTTTCTCTGATGGCCTTGGTCCCTTTGTTCCTTTTTAAGGATGTGGGTTTCGTTCCTTTTAACATGCTAAAAACTCTACATCAAGAGGCAAATGGAAATATTCAAAGGATATCATGATTAAAGAGCCTCTTGAAACAATATCTTGTCAAAGCAAAATAATTCCCATATTATATCATGGATGAATCAGTTCCTCCAAGGGAAAAATAAAATATCTCAATAGGAGTAAAACATTGAACTCCAAGAAGATATTTTGATGTAGGACAATGAAAGATGTTTAGAAGGAGAAGGGAAGGACATACGGTGCTATCATCAGCTTTAAACCACCTTCCCTGGTTATTCTTTATGTAAGACACGTAGTGACCAGTGAACGTTGCATTCATAACATCCAAGTGCACTACTACTCCATAAAGCTGGTAAATTGGGGATTTGTCACTTGTCCCGCTCATATACGGGGCCATATTCAGAATTTCTGGAAAGTTAATTCTCTTATTCAGCTTCCCAAATTTGTTGGCCTGTAACAAAAAAATAAAAAATAAAAAACCTAACTCATAGAAACCTGTTAAAAATAAAAATGAAACACATATTTGATCAGAATAATAACCTGAAATCTCTTTAGAGCAACAGTGAGGACATTAGGGGCCTCCAGTACTCTCAACTTCTTTTTGGCCTTCTCATATGATCTACATCTGACAAAACCCAAGACGTAGTTTAATAGGTCTTCTCGTGTATACCATCAGAATTGAAATATAAACTTACATCATCTACTATCAACAACTTGGAAGTCGATAATAAAATTGCATGCAAAAAAAAAAAAAAAAGAAACGGTGAAATTAATGAATGGATCTTTTTCTATACACTACCTCAGAGTTGCAAGTGTTCAATCAACCTGTCCCTATGTAACTGAATACTCTATAGATCTAATAAGAAGATATTTTTAGGGGGAAAAGGCTTTTCCTGGTTCATACATCCAGAGAAAGATTTCCTGTTTACCAACCGGACATACATTTACAATGCCAAGAATCCGATCTTAATTTTAACTTCAGAAAAATTTGATGCCTACAAATATAGGTATTGACCATGGAACAAATGATCTATTACGACACATGGGGGAGGAAAATGTATAATCAATCTCATAACCGATGCAAAATGAATTCGGCGACATCAGTGCGGAGTTTATAACAATTGCTTTTAATAAGGATTTACAGGGATCATATTGAATTCTGATGGCTTACAACGTCTTTAAAGCAACTAAGACGAACTTCATACCAACCATTCCAATTTTATCCACAAAAAAGATAACAAATTGTCATCGTAGGGAACAGTATGAGTGTGTGCAGGAGTTATTAAACATATCACAATGAAAAGATACCATTCAGTCAATCTCAAGTTTCCAAGCCAAATTCCAGAAGAAAAAGGTTATGGTTCCACGTAAGAGATGTAGGCAGAAGTTAAGAAGTATAAAATCCACAACACTGATCACTAATAAGTTTACAACATTAAAAGTTAAGAATAAAAAAACTGAAGTTGTTTCAATCCAAACAAGGCAGATAAACCATACCCATCCCCCAAAATAAATAAATAAATAAATAATAAAACAAATTGGCAGAAAGAAAAGCCAAACCAGGTCCGCACTGAGAAAGACATGCATGAAACCAAGAAAAATTATTCCATTTTCTCTCTCTATTCTTTTCCATTTTTTTATTTTTTTTATTTTTTTTATTTATTTTTTTTTTTTTTGCCTCAAGACTACAAAACAAACTGGATCAACAGACCTGCTGCAGTTGTACTTATTTTCACCGTCTAAAGTCTCGGTATGAGTGAATTGCTCTATGGCCTCTTCAAGGGTTCCTATATCTCCTCCTATCTCAACAGTAAGATCCATCATTCTGTCGTGCCTCTCAGATTTGCCTCTGCACCTCATGCACTCAATCTGTACTTTCACATTCACAATCAAAATTGAAATCTACAAAGAATATTCTCAAAGCTTTACAGCTCTCAATTTTATATTACCCAAAAATTGTCTCAAATTACCTTTGATCGGAGGTAACCCCCAAAAGTAAGCCCCATGAGAGTTGTTTCTTCATCCAAGGGGCTTGGCTCCTTGATCCCAGATTCCTTCAGACAGACAAATTGCATGGATTCGATTGCACATCTAGATTTAAAATATATAAATTTAGTGATAAATCAACAATTAAGCTGCAAAATATGTGCTCACCAGGTAGGTAAAAGCCAGCTAACCTAAGAAATTCATGAGCATCTTCTTCCCTCCCATTCGCCAGCTGACTTCCTATGTTCTGTAACTTAGATATTATCCTAACAGGTGAGAGAGGAGAAAGACCTTCCCTGGCCTTTGAAACAAGAGATTCAAACTCACAAGTGAAGCACCATTCTTTTTTTCCACCTGTGTAAATGGGAAAAAGTAGTGGAATTAAATACAATAAAATGAACCAAAAGATTCCAAAAACTGATGTTGCGAAAAGGCGTTAAGCATGAAAATAGAATTCACCAAATGGTTAATTGAGAAAACAGGACCAAGATGGAGGAACTTACATGCTTTTGAATGAAGTCCTTGGAGAAAATAAGCTGTGAGGGGTGGTGTGAATGCCAAACATTGAAGCACAGCATTTGCATAACAGCTACAAGAAAGATTCAATTAAAGAAAAACTCGAATGCTAGAAATAATTACACATCAGAAGAATTATCACAAGTTAGATAAATAGCATTTTGTTGCACAATCACATATCTGCATGAAGCATAGTTTTACTGGCTCTTAGTAACAAAATTAAAAACTGATTCTGTACCAAAATTCATTCCATATTGAGCATGTGAAAATAGTTTGCAGTACAAAGTGGAGAAATTCAACTCACTGCATCTTCCCAAGCATGGACACATTGACATGTAAATTTTTCCAAAAAGTGGGATTGGTAGGTGTTTTATTTTCAATAAATAAATAAATAATTATACTGATATCAAATTTTTATTTTGAAATTTTTTTTGGAATACAATATTAGATACCCAAAAAATACTACAAAAGAGTTTTTTGTCATTAAAAACTAATCCAAATAAAAACAGACCCTGTACAACAGAAGATTCTTAATTCTTATTGAGTTGGCTTCGTTTATTGTAGTTCTATTCCCAAAGTAATAAATGTGATACGAAAAGGGGATGCCTTTGCCCTTCCTTCCCTTTCATATTTCCCTTATGCAATTCTGCACCCGTCTCTCCAACTTCCCTTTCACCATCAACCACTTCTCTCTCCACCATTTCCCTCTTCAAGTCCAGATCTTCCCACATTTCCCCACTTCCTAGCTATTTCTCAGATCTCTCTCAGATTTCATCTATTTTTTTGCACAAATCACTGACAAAGAACAGATTGCCGACTAATTTGTAGGATCCAAGTAGTAGATGTTGAAATTAACTAAATCCAAATTATGTTTGGAAGAATACGTTTGCAAATACTTTAAAAGATCACGCTGATTGCATGTCGGAGGCATGTCCACGAAATGTACAAAGGAAAAAGAAAAAGAAAAAGAAGAGAAGAGACAAGCACCCTCTAATGCTCGGACTCTTCGAAATAGTTGGAGTACCCATATCAGATACGACAAGATATGAGTATGGGTATGGGATATGTGTCGGATCCTCCAAATTTCAACAGGACACTTCGCCGTTTTCTTTTCCCCTTTTGCTCTCTATAAACCTAGCACCAACTTCGAGAAGGTGGAGAATAGCGATAGCACTAGGTTTTCCCTTCTTGTTCTTCTTCTTTCTTTTTTATTTCCCTTTTCTTCTTTTTTTCCTTATTTCCCTCTCTATATCGATGATTTAGGGTTTTGTTTGTATAACTAAAAATGAGTTCCATATAGTGCTACCTAGTGCTCCACTAAGTCCAAATTGCAATCAAATTCCTCATTTTCTATTTTATATAACATTTAGTAATTAACTTCCATAATTGAAAATTTAATCCCAAAATTCTATTTTGTTCATCTTAACCCCATATTCAATAATCATTTCCTTCTTTGTGAAACAATTGATTTTGGTTTATTCAAAATGACATCTTAGATTAGTAAAAAAAATTGAAGTTTGAAAGACGTACCCATGTCCGAAACTTGGACTCTTTTTAGTTATGTCCCATATCCTACATTTTAAAAAATAAAATATCCGACATTTTGATACATACCGGTACCCAAGTTCGAGTATCATAGCAGGCACCAACTAGCTTGCAGGCATGCGTCAGAGTGCAAGACTTGTTGGACAAAGAGACTGACACGTGACCCAGCCAATGTGTTCATGCTTCTAAGTATTGTCAAATTTAGAAAATTATAGTAGAGTTTCAAATTCTTACGTACAAGTACATATATCCAGAAGATCATCATATCAAGAATTAGTTGTGTAGCATTCAAACAATGGCACTCATACTAGTTCGGACTTCAATAAACTGTAAAAGAAAAAATTTAGTCTTCTGCTCCAAGTTTGTGTCATAAACAGGTTGCCATGATTTATATAGATTTAATTAACAAAAAGTTGCATGTTACATTAAATTCCATGTGTTTGAGCTGAGGAAAGGCGAGAGCATTACATGGGACATGTATTGATAGAACTACACAGAGCCCATACTACAAAGAGGAAAAACAACACGAAGCTTTTAAAATTACTTTCATATTTTGCCATAATGAGGACAAGTATGACATGTTACCTGTTTCCACAATTTATGAGTCCACATGGATGTAATTCAACCTTATTCCAATTGTAAAGATTCACAAAGAGGTCATAAGGAAACAGCCCCTGTAAAAAGGAATCAGTTTAGCTATGTCCTATATCTTCATATGAAGCAAGTGTGGATGAATATAAAAATGCAAGCTTCATGCCAACCTTGAATCTTCCCATAACATCACTTTGAGAGCCTAACGAGCTATGCCACATCAACTTAGAATCTCTGAGTGGGTCCAAAGTCCTTGCTGATTTATTTGAGTCAATCCTAGCATTTTCTGAATGGCAACCACACTGTGAGGAACAAGCATCAACCCCATGAGTGCTGTCAATCTTCATGGACTGCACTTTAGGAACATTAAGCTTCCTGGTGCCAGAAAAGAAATGTGCTCCAGCAACTTTAGATGTCAGAAAATCAACTTCATGAAATTTCAGAGCCTGCGAAACACTGCTTGTGTTGTCAACCCTACTATTTAACATATCATGTGTCGACGATTGCAAACCACTATCTCTTGTAACATCTCTATTTGGCAAATTTTTATCAGAGCTGGATGCTGTAGTACCAAAATAAGCATTAGATGAGATGCTCAACTTTGAAGTACATTTAGTGGGTATATTCAGAACATCATTGCCATTAGACGTTTTTGAACTGATTAATGGTGGTATTCTAGACTCCAGACCATATGGACTTGCTTCTTTTGATATTGGAGCCTCATCTGTCAACTTTTTGGACAATGATGTAGCTGGATGAGGATCACCGATCATATTTCTATTTGCTTCAGAACTTGGTCCTTCCACAGGATAAACATTAATTCTAGCTGCAGTAGAAAAGCATCCAGAAGGAATAGAATCTGGTACGTTAACATCACCACATTCATCAAGTGAATCAATCTTGGATGAAGGTGGGTCAATTGATCCCTCCCAAAAACCAGAAGAGGGCGTAGAAGGTTGAGAAAGTGAGTGCTCTTCCGAGCCAGTGCCAGTCCAACCCGATAAAGTTGATGATTCACTGCAATTATGTAAATCAATAGAGCTAATCTTGAACTGGTTTGGTTTACTTATAGCAAAATCATCTGTAAAACCGGACACAATAGGTTGCTCCAATGAGAGTCTCCTCTCCAAGTTAGCGCAGGTAGTCTTCCTGTCATATCTACAAGAGTCATTTGACTTTCCACCTGAAGCGACAGACAATTCCCCCAAAACAGAGGATGGTGAACATTCATCAGGAAGTGAGTGAACTGATGACATCAAAGTTACGTCTTTTTGTTTCTCATCAACAACATTCTCAACTTCAGTACCATCTTTTCCATTAGGCACTTCACGAAGACTGGATTTTATAAATGTAGATTCTCCAAAAGACAAGTCAACAGGTTCTGTAAGATTCTTTCCTCGACTCCTGATAACATTGCCACTACTTTCAACCTCATCTTGCTTAAACTCCTTAAGACAAGAATGGACTCCCACGTCAATGTTCCGGTGAGTGATATTACACGGACGGCACTCATCCTTGTGACCTTGTCGCCAATGGATTATTTGACATTTTCCAGAGCTGAAGCATGAAAAATATGAGGATTTTAGGTGCAATATGATTTATCCTTGAGACACAAGAAAACGGTTAATAGGAGCATCATAAATATCAGAATCAATAGATAACCAATGTGGAAATAATTGAATGCCGATCACGAGACTCACTCCTATGTACTCAAACAATGTCTCACCGCCTATGTTTTCCGAAATTGCATTGGTCCCTAATCCTATGGTGACAGAAATAGCTAAGTAGATCCCTCTTTATGTCAAAAACTGTCAATGACCCTCACAAGTCAATGGCTTCATGTTGACACTTTACACTACCAGATGGGTTATATGACAAAACACAACAAACTAGAAGTGTTTATTAGCTAACTTTCCATAGAATAAAGAAGTCATATCTTGTTATACAATCAACTACATAGACTTTTTTTAATGTTGTTAAGTTGATTTGATGCTGGGGACTACACTGGTAGTCTTCGAAAACCCTAAAATGGCTAGTAGACTATGTTTTTAGTATTAATAGGAAGTTCACCGAGTTCAGAAAACCACAGGAGAGTACAGCACAATTTGCTTTAAAAATGAAAGGAAGATATGATCTCTCAATAAAAATTATGCAAAGCAAATGTTGATAACATTTGGTTATGACCTTGCTCATCCACAATTCCTGAAAACAATAGAGAAAGAAATTATGGATGTCATTATAAATATGCTCATCTCTGGAAAGCTACATATTCCCTCCATGGGACATGGGGTATCACTCTTCCCACTCTAATGTTATCTTATCTGTACCTCCTTCCAATTGAAATGAGAACTAGAACAAACAACACAAGATGAACCAGCTTATCCAAAGGCACTATTTGTTTCTAGGAGAACAGAACAAGAGAATTCAAAAAATTCAAACCATGAAACAATTGGCCTGAACCTTCTATATGTTAGGGGTAAACATAGAGATACTAAATTTACTTTTCTAGCGAGAAGATTTCCTCAAAACTTTCTAGCCTTTTGCTTTCCTAATTTTTGTTTGATACTTGAAAAGCTTAACACTGGGGTACAACAATAACAAAACAATGATGACAGCAGAGCCTAAATTTATTGTGAACTCAGATAATAGCAGAGAAGGGAAACAAAAGAATTTTTTGAAGTAACAAAGAAAATAGGGGAGACAAAGCTTCATGGAAAGGGAAAGCGAAGACATTTAAAGCATTTGAATACTACATAGAAACTTCCATGCATGTTATTTAAATAAGAGAAGAAAAAGACAAGAAAATAAATAGCTTTTCTTCGAGAGAGGGGGGAGAATATCTGAATTATATCCCCATCCAACTCCCTCTTCTTCTTGTCCTATAATTAAGTTCCATTCCTACCATTTTTCTAAAAATGGTCCAAGGCTCATTGCTGAGACGTACGCCCTTAGGAATAAGCCTCATGTCAGCTGAGGTGTCCGCTCATTTGAAGACATCACTGGCCTCAGCTTTTGGGACTACTTTTTTATAGACTCATACACCTTAAAGAATTCCTAGGGCATCTAAAACACAGTTCAATCCTGAAACTAGAAGGAAAGAATTGAAAAAGAAATAAGAGAAAAGGCAAAGCAACTGAGCCTTAGCCTCCTACAACTGATGGAAAGTGAAGTTGAAACTTTTTCAACAACACGCAACCAATGACACATAACTTCACCTCTTAATTACACTTCTCTTGTTGCTGTCTTTGTCAGTCCTAGAGGGCAGGGAAGAAAACGTTTCAAGTTGATGATAAGGAAAAAGAATGAGAAGAAATTTATTGTAATAAGAAGGATGATAAAGAATCAAACATGTTGATGGTTCTCTAAAAGATCTGATTACAAGTGATGACAGGAAGAATTTAGGCTTTTTCAACCTCTAGTAGTAGAATACAACTTTGCTATGTGGTCACTAATTTGAAGAATATTTGCTACTTCATTGATATATTTATGGTTGTTTACAAAGTAGACTCTTAATGTTGATAAATCATTTTATTATTGATATTCAATAGTTTATTACGAGCATAATTTTGTACCTTTTATATCTCTGCAATATTTTGTAGGGTACACATCGCATCACACTTTTGCAGAATAGAAAATAACAGTTCTAAACAGAGAAAGGGAATAATACTGAGTTAGATAAATTAAAATAAAAATAGTTCCGTATGACGAATTATTTCCTTCGCATAGATGTGACTCCCTTATATTGAAGCATACACCTAAATTTTATGCATTTTATTGCTATTCACATTGACTAGATTGGAACTAGTGAGTGGCAGCACATTCAGCAATAAATAGAGACAAAGTGAAGAAAAAGATTCTTGGTGAATCTTTATATAACTGCAGTTATAATGATAAACAAATAGAATCGCCTCCATTTGTAGCAACTATTTAAGTGCTTTCCCTCCCCCTCTTTTTCATCCAAGAATTACATTTGGAAGACATTAGATTAAAAAAAAATAAAAAATAAAAAAATCACCCGAATTGAGAGCCATCAAAATATTTTATGTACCAACAACTTTCTGATGATCCATCCCAGTGCCTAATATTGCTACACGTCCTAGATCAAGCTTGATTGCAACATTACGCCCAATATGAAAAATTATATAAAAGAATGTACCAAATCTCCAGAAACTATAATAAAAAGTGCATAAAAAAATTTTAACCTACACAATCAAGCATGACAGGGAAGCAAAATGTATGCATAAAAAGGTAACTGAGTTAAAGATCAAAGACTTCAGAAAATTGCAACGCACCAGTAACGAACAGCTTTACACTGCTTGCAGCGCGTTGTAGTTGGGGAAAAGCACACTTCACACTGATACTGGGATTGCCACACGGGCGATGATCCTGACATAGAAACCGCCGTCTTCTCCTCAGGCTCGGCCATCACGGGAGAGCCATAGCTGTAGCCAGCGGCAGCCTCAAACTCAGCTCTAGCTGCCTCATCGGAAGCCAAGGCCAGAAGTCTCCTGATCTCCTCCTTCCTGGACAATGTGTGCCGCCATTTCCAGCGGACCACCAACCAGCCCACAGGGGCAAACAGAACCACCAGAGCCGCAGCCACCACTCTGTAGACAAACCCTAGATCTCCTTCCAAAAGCATTTATACGATAATAAGATAAATAATACTAATCCGCATCCAAGTAACCCTAAGTTTTTCAACACTCATAAATTTCAACTACAACTTTCAGGAATCGAATTAAGCTGTAATTAAAGGAATCAAATCAAATCTCCGTCAAACGATTGTCACCGGGAAAGCACAGATTGCAATATATACGAGAATAAATACTTGTATATTTGATTAAAATATAAATATATATTTGTGTGTATAGATTGTGTGTTAATGGAGGATTGAAGAAAAGATTCGGAGTTGTTGCAGTAAGTTTCTGAGACCGAGATTTCAGGGCTTTTATTCCAGAGAGAGAAGAGAGAGAGAGAGAGAGAGAAGTAATGTTTCAGTGAAATCACTAAGGGGTGTTCTCTTTGTGTTTCAGTTTTGTGTTTTGAGTTTTAAATTCATTTTGAGTTTTGTGTTTTGAGTGTTTGTTTTGAAATTGTTGAAAATACGTTCTTTTTATTAGTTTCTCAAAATAAAAAAAAATGAAATTTTTTTTTTTTTGAAATTTTGAGAATCACCACAAGATCACCTCAAAAAAAAAAAAAAAATTTAAAATTTTGAAAAACCCCAAAAAAACCCCCAAAAAAAAAAAAAAAAAAAAAAAAATTACATTGAAAACGGTGTTTCCCGCATTTTCAGTTTTTTCAAGTTTTACACTGAAAACGCCCAAAACGACAAAAAAGTCGTTTTGTGTTTTCTTCACAAATTTTTTTTTCGTTTTCGAAAACGGGAAAGAGAACACGTTTTCACCGTTTTGAAAAATCGAAAACAGAAAACGGCCCGAAAACGGTAAAGATAACAGGGCCTAAGCTTTGCCATTATTTCAACTAAGGCCACTATGTCTCATGATAGACATTGAGAACCATCCAACTCAGCCGAGAATTGGACTCAACTAGTTCGACTCGCTCTCGTTCTAATAACTGGACGATTCAGATATAATTATTATTCTAGCTATAAAAATATTTTTTAAGATAAAAGAATCGAACTAGATTAGAATCAGTCGATTCTAGTTGTTCTTTTTTCCTAAAATCAAAGATTTCAATTTTACATTTTTCAATGAAAATCAACTTGATTCGATTCTCAAGATGCCAAGACTAAACATCCGATGACCAACCCTTGCCATGTATGATCATTAAAATTGGTGAACTTGATTGCATTTGTTAATGCCTAATGAATATCGAAATGGATGAAGTTGTGCAATCAGCATACATAAATTCAATTTAAAAGAAGGTAATCACTTGTTCAAAAACTAAAAACCAGTTTTAAATTGGGTAATCAGTGAGTGAATCATATATTTTTACTTTTATATTGAAATCGTGAGTGTCAACTCTTAGCAAATTCATCCACAACAATATTTCTTAATGTTTTAACATCTACGCAATCAAGGCTCTTTAGGTTTAGTAACAATATGTGACAGCGCCAAAATAATTATGAAGATTAGTAGTGGATTGAAATATTTTAAAGTGGGGTGACCAAATTGAGACTTTATCCGAAGTTGAGTGAGCTCCATGAAATTAACCATTTTGTTGCTGCAAGGAGAGATTAGTAAAAGCAATAATAAAAACTAAAGAATAAGAAATCAGAGGTAGGAGGGAAGGAATTTTATTGTCTAACTTTGGAAGGCGAGAATTCTTCCTCTTTTACAAGATTCGGAAATTGGGAGTTATGGTTTTGAGACCAACTTTTGAAAGTTGATGTAATTAGGCGTCCTTTAAAACATGGGCCACGCCTCTAGAATTTGGGAATTTGGCCTTGTAGCCTAACTGGAAAATGTATTTGATTAAAGGGGGAGTTTGTTAAAAAGTTCATTCAAACAATGTATTTAATTAAATTACTTTATTTGAATGTTTGTTGGTCAAATAGCTTTCAATTACAAAATACAATAAACAAATTATATCAAAAGTCCAAAATGCCATCACCATGAAAGTAACCTAATGTCTCTTTCAATCCAATTAAATTCCTCATTTCATCTTCAAAAATCATGGACCTGCTCTCCCTATACTTGCTACTGTAAATTCTTGTTATTCATTATTTCACCCATCCTCTCCAATATTTTGAGCACTTGAACAAGAATTTTCTTTTGTATACCATTTATATTGAAATCTCTACTATATTTGAAGAAAAAAATAAAGGTATTTTTAGAAATATCATGTGCACTTTTATTGTTGAATATAATATAAAATGATATTTTAGTTGATTTTGTTTTTACATCTGGTGTATTTTGACTGTCTACAATTATTAGATGATGACGGCACTCCAGTTGTTATTTCTAGTGTAGAATGACGCTACAATCATTATCGTCTATGTAAAATGACAGTACAACCTTAGTGTAGTAGGTGTTTGAAAACTGTGCATAACCGCATTACTTGTATGGATCATGTATTACCCAACTAGAGACGTGAACGATGAAGACAAAACGATACATCTGCTGATTTTTATGGCTTATGATGTGCTGTTTTTATAATATTGAAAAATGATTGTGGTGTTATAATGTTCTGTTTTTGTCATTTTGAAATGCAAACTATTTCTGATGTTTGAAAAGATTTATTTTGTCATTTGTCTTAGAATTGACGATGTCATAGCAACAGATATATTGTTATTTTGTTATTATAAAACATCATTGATGTCATTTTAAGTATTTCATTTAGAAAATATAGAAATAATATTCAAAAATTATATATTATTGATTTAATAGCACCTAATTTCAAAGTATAGTATCAATTATTCATATTGTGTTTATATATGTAACGACACTTATGTTGTTTTCATAACATTAACAGCACTTGTGTTGTTTTCTCTTTTTTTTCACGTTGATTAAGTAATAAATATATCTTTCAAATTTTGTAAATGCCATATCTATTTTACAACTTAAATGAGTTCAAATTATCGATTATCGGAGCTTGAATAGATCATGAGTGCTCATACTCGTGTTTATAAACAGAACAATACACGTGTCATTTAACGGTGCCTTTCCCATTATGTTGATTTTTTCTAGTATTTTGCTCCTTTTTCATCAAAACGACAAAGAGCAATGGATTTCTTAACTTAAAAAACTCAAAAATGTTAGTTATATGACAAATATTGGTAGAATTGACATAGATTTTATGATATAGAGTTGGAGAAATCACAATGCATTATCTACATTCGTTAGAAAATATAAATAATGATAATTTCTCAAATTTTGTAAATTTCATATCCATCTTGCAACTTAAATGAGTTCAAATTATGGATTTTCGAGGCTCGAATTAGTAATGGGTGCTCATACTCGTATTTATAAACAGAACGGCACATATGTTGTTTAATGACACTTTTGTCGTTATGTTGATTTCTCCAAAATTTTACTTCATTTTCACTACAATGACCTCAAGCATTGGACTTCCCACTTAAGAAAGTAGGAAATATTAGTTATATGACAAATATTGGTAGAATTAACATAAATTGTATGATATCGAGTTGGAGAAATCACAATGCATTATCTCTCAAATTTGTTAGAAAACATAATTATGAGCATATCTTTCAAATTTGTAAATGCCATGCCCATCTTGCAATTCAAATGAGTTCAACTTATCAATTATCGAGGCTCGAACGAGTCGTGGGTGCTCATACTCATGTTTATAAACAGAACGACACACATGTCGTTTAACAGCACTTCTGTCGTTATGTTGAATTTCCAATACTTTGCTTCGTTTTCACCACAATGACCTCAAGCATTGAACTCCGTAATTTAAGAAAATTGAAAATGTTAGTTATGTGACATAGATTGTATGATATCGAGTTGGAAAAATCACAAGACATTATCTGCATTCATTAGAAAATATAATTAATAAGCATCTCTCAAATTTTGTAAATGTCATGCCCATCTTACAACTTAAATAAGTTCCAATTATTGATTATCAAAGCTTGAACGGGTCATGGGTGCTCATACTCGTATTTTTAGACAGAATGACACAAGTGAAGTTTAACGGCACTTGTGCTGTTATGATGATTTCTCCAATATTTTGCTTCATTTCCACCGCAACGACCTCAAGCATTAGACCCCAAACTTAAGAAATTCGAAAATGTTAGTTATGTGACAAATATCGATAGAATTGACATAGGTTATATGATATCGAGTCAAAGACACAAGTCGTGATCTATATTTGTTAATAAATATAATTAATGAGCATATCTCTCAAATTTTATAAATGTCATGTTCATCTTACCATGTAAATGAGTTCAGCTTATTGTTTATTAAGATTTGGACGAATCGTACTTGCTTATACTCTTATTTATAGAGAAAACAACACAAGTATCGTTTAACGGTACTTATGTCGTTCTATTTATTTCTCCAATACTTTGCTTCGTTTTTCATCGTAACGACCATATGTATTGGATCCCCTAACTCCTCTTGTGCCGTTCTCATGAACAAGTTTGAGTATCGTTATAACATCACGTGTGCCATTCTATTAGGACTTTTCAATATCACTAACGACACTAGTGTCATTCTCATGGACTTATAAATACATTACGATAGTTATATCATGTCCATCTTACCACGTAATTGAGTTTCACGTTTTGGTTGTTAGAGCACAAATAGACATAACTGCTTATAATCGTGTTTACATACATAATGACAAATGGTCGCTTTTATCTCAGTAACGACACTTGTATCATTCTATTATTTTGACCCATATTTTTTTATTTTTCTTAACATAATTACCTAGGAGTTGCAACGAGCCGAGTCGAGCCGGCTCGCGAGCAGAATATCAAGGCTCGGGCTCGGCTCGAGCTTTTTGAAGATGGGCTTTCTTTGGCCCGAGTCGAGCTGAGCCGAGCAAAAGCTCAGCCAAAAAATGGAGGCTCGGCTCGAGCTTTCAATTCGGGCCTTACCGAGCCAAAATGGGCTGAGTCGAGCCTACTCATTTTTTTCTCTTTTCTTCTATTTTTTTTCTCCTTTAAAAAGTAGTTGGTTGCCTTTGTAAAGGCAGCAGCTAGCTGTTTTAGATTTTTTTTTTTCAAGTCAGCTCGGGCTTGGCCCAGTACCCCAAGATGGGGTTCGGTCCGAGCCTTGAGCCGAGCCGGCTTGAGATTTTTGCCGGCCGAGCCTGCCTCAAGCTTTTTTGTCATCCCTATAATGACCTCAAGTAATGGAATCTCTCATTTATATAAGATATAAAAGTTGACCATAGGACAAAGGATAGTTGAAATGACATAAATTATATGTCCATCTTACCACGTAAATGAGTTTCACTTTTTGGTTGTTGGAGCACAAATAGATGTAACTGATTATAATCGTGTTTACATACATAATAACACAATGGCCGCTTTCATCTCAGTAACGACA